AGATGTGATTTAAATAGGATAGTGATTTGCAAGATAATGTATATTATATCCAAAATGATTGGAACATTTTGAACACATGATTTTTATCTCGAGAACAGGCTTTTCCTTTTGTTTTTTGTAATTAAAACATAATCTACATATTTTGTAATATAGTTTTCTCTTATACTTTCATTCTGGTTTATTTCTTTTACATAAATTACATAATTTTCTATTCCTACAAGTCTGACAATTATTAAAATATTTCTTTGTTTTCCAATTCCAATTAATTTTATTTTTGTTACATTCAAAACACCAAGGCATCTGTTCTTTTACTAATTTTTCTTGACATGTTTTGCAATTATGATATTTTTTTTGTTTAAGAGTTCCACAATTGCAAAAAACTTCAGATTTGAAGGGAGTAATATATTCTTCTCCTGTGAAATACCATAATTCGTTGTTGAGAGTCATGTTGATATTTTCTGGTAATTCTTGACCTTGAAGAACTTGTTTAATTTCGTTAGGATATTGACATTCAATTGGTATTTTAAAGATATGTTTATCACTGCTGATGAATATATCTTTGATTATATATGAGAAGAAAGATTCTGGGAATTTTTTTAATAGATTATTGATATTCATTGATATTATTTTTTGTTCAGGTTTAATGATAAATTTCACGTGAGAACATTTTTTACAATATGTTTCGTAATTGGGGTATTTAATAATATCACATCTATTTATCCAACAAATCTGACAAAGAGGACTATTCCATTCAATATCAAAATCATCCATGTTTTTTGAATGTTTAATATAAGTCGTTATATTGAATTTATGATCAACTAATTATAAATATTTATTAATTTAAATATCAAATGAATTAAGAATCTAAGAATTTTTTGTAGATTATTTACTAAAACAAAATTAAAAATTTTAAGTATTACACAACATTTCTACTAATAAAACATATATAGAAATTCCTTATTATGTGAACTTTGTTTTGAATTTGGATTTTTGATTGATAAGCTTAATTATGTAATCTCAATGTTTCATATCATTCAAAGTTAAAAGATATTTGTAAAATTTACAAGTTTTTGTATTTGTTTCTTTGAAAATTTGTTATAAATGGTGGCGATCAAAGACAATGAAAATTTGGATTTCAATTGTAAATCTTTAAACAATTTCAAATTAATCTTAAAAAATGTCCTTCTTTTTTTTTTTTTTTTTTTAAGAGAGGTCTTTCCTCTATTCCTTTATTTCAAAGTATATAATTGAATACAACT